GGCCTAGTAGGACTGCATAATACTAGTTCGGCTGCATTGTATGTCCTTTCAATGGCGGAACGTAGCCGTCGTTCGATAGTACTTAGAATATTGTCGCCCTTAAAATGCAAAGATATAAAGATATAACGTTCCCCCCTTCTTCACTTTTTTGGGCTACGGTGTTTGAGTTGCTAACTTTATTGATTAGCCTGCTTTAACCAAAACCCTGACCTTGCTGTTTCTGCATTGATTTTCTGCACGAATTCAAATCTGTCGTATTCTTCTCACTCGTTACCTCTCTTATGAAGCGACAGGACGCAGCTGAGGAGCCGTCGCGAAATTTTTTGGTACCAATAAATCCTGCCGTTCTTGCCTACTTAAGTATGTGAATTAGTCTTGCAGAGCATCCACCGCACTCTCGTCTGCCCCACCTAGGTCCGGTGTTAAGGCAGAGTCAAGAAGAGTGGAGTCGGGGGAGTGCGTAGCTGAATGGTACGGTCGAGTTCGCACCTTGGCGCTCCTTCTCGCGCCCCCTGGTCCACACCGTAAATGACCAGGATTTTAACCAACGACACCAACGGAGAGGAACGAAACGGTCCCAGTGTGCGCGACGTCTCGGTTAATGGATTCAGCAACCGCACTCCGAAGTGTTGGCATTTGTTATGGTGCTCAGCCAGATAACTCCTGCCCGAATCACATATGGCCTCCGTGTTGGTCCAGGGCATCTACTATGTGGCTCGTTTGGGAGGCTCACGCCTACACACACAACAACGATTCTGACTATGTCCACCGTGTGCTCTGCTGATGGGTGAAGCAGACACGGTGACTTGCGCGTGAATTAGTTTATAGTGATAGCGGACTTGCGTAGCATCTATCGCACTCTCTCCTCTCCCCTCCCCACCTGGACCCATTGTCAAGACAAAGTCAAACAGTTCAGAGGCGAAGGAGGGCGCGGTCGGGCCCGTACCTTGACATTCAATTCCACACCCCATTTTTCACACAGGAAATGACCAGGTTTTTGACCAACACCACCGGAAGCAGCAGTAACAACAACAACGACACCCAAACAGGGGCCAGAAGTACGAGGAGTATGACTGGACAGCCATGCTCACCACCTGTATACCCAGCGGGAGCGCATGAGCATCCACCGGCAAGGAACTAGGCGTCAGCATACTGCCAGCGCATTTCAGACTGCAAGAGCGATGGTCTGCTGATATTGACATAGCCCACGCTTTCAGACCTTTTGACCTAGAAGGGTGACACGTGATCTTGCCTTTAGTCTGGCCGTCACCCTTCAAGGCTGAGAGGCGTTAACCATAAAGCACACACTCTCTCTTCACAAGCATGGGAGTTCACAGATCGCCTGAGAATGGACCCTGACTGTCTGGCTCTCAGCCCACCAGTCCGCAACACCATACAACACACAAAACTGGGCAGACTGCGTAGACTGATTTGAAGCGTCAGTCGGCTTTCTTCCGAGCCACGGCGGTCGACTCACCGTCTTCTTCTCAGATTCCGATTGCACATTCAAAAAGGGGGCCGCATGGCGAAGGGGCCGAGGCACACACTTCAAACTTGCGTGACAGTTGGCAGTTGGGTGTTTGCGCTGGATGATGGTGATTTGCGGTGAGACGCTGGTAAGGGAGGACGTGATGGTGAGATGCAGTAGGGCGGTTTGATACCGCAGGTTTTCATGAACGCGCATGTGGTCTAGTAGGCCCATGCGTTGAATTAGTGCGAGAGTGCAGTGTGGACAGTGGAGGAGGATGCGACAGGTATAGGTTGGTGCTCCAGGCACTGGTTCGCCAGTCTCTGTGTGATGGATTCGTAAGTGACCGACAAGGCCGATGTTTGATATGAACGTACGGGGACAGCGTGGACATGAGAAGTCGGCGGTGTCAATATCAGGTTTGCTGATGGTGATGCTGATGGTGATGGTGGTG